AGTTGAAAACACCTTGGCAGCTCTATACTATTGGCCAACTATGTTCAAGGATAGTTTTGACTCATGTAAACGTTGTGAAGTATGCCAAACATTCGCTAATAAGTTTAGGGTTAGCGACAACTTGCAACCTATTTCTCCATTATGATCATTTGAGAAATGAAATATCGATTTTATGGAAACTTTGCTTGTTACAAGAAGAGTACACTGTTTTATCATAAATGCCACAGATTATCTTACAAAGTTTGCAGACGTTTGCGCTTTGAAGATTTCGATAAAGAAAGAGGTATCATGATTTGTGTATGAACGCATTGTTACTCGCTTTGGCATTTTGTTAGAGATAATTTGTGATAACTGATCTTAATTCATGAGTGATATGTGGGTAGATTTAATGGAACGCTTAGCAATTAAACAAAGGTTCACGCCTATGTATGAAATCAAGTACAAACGTACTTGTAGAACAAATAAACAAGATACTACGTCCTATGATTGCGAACAAAGCAAAACAAGGTCAAATGCTTGCGATTGGAATCTCAAGATCCATCATGCCATGTGGGTCTATAACTCAACGTTCAAATTTGCTACAGGATTCTCTCCATTCTATTTAGCCTATTGCATCGAGGCTCTACTTCCGATAGAATACGAATTGATGACACTTCCCACCGCTTTGAAAGCGCTTTCAGATCTGGATGAGTCGCAACAAAGACGGCTAGTGCAACTTAACGAATTGAACGAGGTCTAATTACGCGTGAAACATGCAATTGAGGTGGCTCAAGCAAAAATGAAGAAGACGTGGGATGTGAAGACAAAGAAGCGGGTGTTCAAGGCAAAACACTTGGTGATGTCATACATTCACGACACTTTCAAGGGATCCAAAAGAAACTGCTACCCAAGTGATATGAACCGTATGATCTTAATGAAGTCTTTGCGTCAAACGGTATCTATTCTCTACTCAATAAAGATGACACTAGTTATCTAGATAGAATTAATCACAATAAACTAAATAAAACTTATGTCGACTTGCTAGACTAGTAAAAATTTGAGTACATAGATGTGATGTGAATGTTAGATAGCAATGAAGCTTATAGATAATCCCTCCATGTGTTTGATAGTGGAGATTAGTTATTTTTTTGTAGTTTACATGTACTATGTCAAAGATAGTAGCATCGGGAGTTGTTACAAGAAACTTTTTTTTTTCCAGATCATAAGAATATTTAACAAGCTCACTTGTGAGGATCTTAACATCCGATTTGCATTTTGTATGCATTGAGTGAGAGTGCGCTGAAGGCATCAAGAGGTTCAAGCTTTGTAGTAGAGTTGGAAAGTCGCGTTGGTATCTGGAGTTTGAACACATATTGTTTGCGCTTCAAAATGCACGTTTCTTTTGTATTTCCCAAGGGACCCACATGTACACCTCGTCATCACGATTCGATCGTAGTCTATGTTTACGGTTCATGGTTGAAGTGTAAGCATTGACGTTTATAATTAGATGCCCTCTCGGCTAAGAGATTCAACAATTTGGTAGTGCTCCTTTGCTTGGCAAGTCTAATAGAAAGTTTTTTTTTTTTTTTAATTTCCTCTACATAATCTAGTAAACTATTTTTAATAAGTGTTGTTGACAGTATCTACTTAAAATTAATATTTATGATTTGTTACTTAATAAATAGTTGATTTAATTACTTATATAATTATTTTATACAATCTTTATGACTTAAAACATGTGATGCACTCATAATCCATGTGAATCTTCATCCTTGCAATGTTAAACTAAAATGACATATATGAGATAGAGTGTATAAGTCTAAAACTTTTCATGAGAAGAAGTGAAAGTGTAATTTGTACAATAATTAATTTTTACCAGGCAGTTCATCATCTATATCTCTTTGCCAAACCATCATCTTCTAACACGAGATGGATTGGAAATTTATTAAACTCAAATAAATAAATTATTATTAAATATTTTAAATTTCAATTTTCACAATTAGATCCCAGAAAAAACACAGCAAGAAAGGAAAATCAATTGATGAAGACATGTGATTTTAATAAACCATATTGCATGTAAATTATATAGTTTAGGTTCAAGGATAACATATACAAAATAATTCAGAGTAGACATACAGCTTAACTCAAAAGAAGAAATTCATGATTTAGTGAATACTTTAAAAATTATTAATCACGTTCTATTATCTCCTATATCAAGAAATAAAATCATGAAGTGCATCAAAAATATTGTTCTTGTTTCTTACAGAATTTTCTTTTGACGGAAGAAGAAAACATATACTGTTGTCAGAAGCTGAGGAGGTGAGATATCTGTTGGGCTGGAAGATATTTTCAAAGCAAATTATACGCAAGATTGGATTCTAAGAGAACGCGAGTATGATTCCTGCTGTCCAGCTACAAATTTAGCTGGTTGTTATCATGTCAGCCAACCGTACTGCATTCTTGGAATTATTGGAAAATCCAATACTTCGAAGAACAAATCTTGGACATGAAAATTCAGCAGGTCAAGAGTTGTTTTTGTCCGATCATATCTCACGAACTCAATTCATCCTTTTGGTTTGCAGCGAATCTCTCGTACAACCCAGCCTTTAAATTCAAGAGGAGTGTTCGCTATTTGGTTAGATTTCGATGAAATCACCTCTTTATATGTAAACATGTTGAGTCATAGTACTCATCCAGCTCATGGAAGACACATATGTTCATCTCCCCATGCGTCGATGCGTATTGAAGCTGAACAAAGTATTTCTGGATGGTTCCAGTAATCCAGTAACCCGAGTTCATCACATTTGCCATGAAGATCGATGACAAAGACGTTTTAGCAACTGAGGTTGCCCGGCAGATTTGTGGATGGTTGAAGCCACCTAAATCGATAGAATCCACTCGGAGGTGGAACTGCAGTCAACTCATGAATTGAGAAAAAGTGGCTCATTGTTTTGTTTGAATGAAGTAGCCCTGCTTCTCCTACACCCACACCGACGTCTGGTCCTACCATCTCGTTCACATATTTATGTGACAGTGTGATTCAAGGAAGCTCCTGCGTGCTGGAATGTCGAAGATAAAAAAAATGTCTCAAGTGTCTTAACGCCATCAAGCTTAGAATAACAATTGATGGGACCCCAGGAAACTCAAAACAATTTATGGGACCCAAATAGGTTTCATTTTACCCGGTACCCATCGATGGGCTGCAAGGCCATGAGTCCCCGCGAGACTATAGAACAAATTGACAGGTGATAGGAACTTTCATTGGAATATGGTTTACGGTGGGCTGCGTGGCCCTAGAGTGGAGTACATCGGGTAAAATGAAACCTGTTGGGTCTCATCAAGAGTTATGAGTTTTACACGGGTCCATAAGTAATTTACTCCATCAATTTTCATCCAAGAGGAGAATGTTGAAGACAAACGATAATTGCAGCTGATCTCAGCTAATCGTGGAAGACTTCGCCTCTAAAGTTGGAAAGATTCACCTCCTCCAAAATTGGAAGAAATGTTCTGAAATTAAAGTCGTATTACATGAAACTATGCGAAATGTAGCTTTGTTATCTACTTGTTATAGAAAAGTTGTCAACAGAAGATGAAAAATCTCATTATATTTAAAACAACTACACATTAATATGGATGTTTCATTTTTCAAATAAGTTCTTTCAAATGATGACAAGATGGTTGAGATTCAGTTTCAAATATTATAATGAATGATAAAGATATGATAAAATATTATTTTTTGAAATAAATACATAAATTCTAACACTTATGTGTTCAATCAAATAACATGTTCAAATAGTTGCACTTGTTTTTATATAAGTTGGATTACTTTAAGTTTCAAATGCACATCATATTAGAATTAGATTTGTATAAATTCCTTACATACGGAATATAAACTTGAAAAAAACAATTCTTATATTTATTGGCATACATGAAGTTTTAAAAGATATTTTTTTTCTTTTATATACTTGATGTTTGTACTTATTCCTAGTTAGATGTCAGAACTTCTGTCACTTTTAAGTATATCTGGATCCGATTAGCAAGGTTCACGACACTAGCAATCAAGCCAATTTTGATCATGTAAGATGTAGTTATGGCATAATGCATCTTCATTTTTTCCATTCTATGATCATGATAAAATCAAAGAGATAAGAAAATTTACAATTATGTTAGTCTGATCTCATGTTATTCACCTGTGAAACAGTCTTAATGGTACTAGGTGAGGAATCATAAATGGAAAGCTAGAAAACAATCTACATCCATTATCATATCTTTTACTTACTGAATCTGGATAAATTGAATTAACATCTTGATAAGTTATGCAGTAAAGGTGATATTAGTTTCAAGGAATTGAAGTATACAAGTCTATAGTATGTAACGTCGTCAAATTTTTCTTTTCTTCTACTTTCAAAATTATGTGAAACTATGCATTTGGTGACAGAGTCCGCCATAACATATTATGCCCCAAGGCTATTCATCTCAACCTATTGCATACATCGATCAAATAAAACACAATGATTACCTCAATGCACAAAATAACAATCGTAAGATTCTTCTGTAATATGTTACAATATGTGGACACTCTTAATCTACTAGTCAATGACTAGTAGATGTGACAAGACATGCTTTGCATTGCGATGTAGTTGGGACTAGAATCACATCAACCCTTGGTTTCATGCTATCATTACTTGATGTCGTCCCATATTTTTTGCTTCATTTCTTGGTTCACAATATTAATAATGGATGGCTGGAAGAGGATGGTGTACTGTGGTGTGAGCTGTCAAACCCGTCAAACCGAGGCTATCTTCTGGAAAATCAATTTCGCAAATTGCTGCATTAACGCGGTAGGGCCGGAAATGGAGGCGGAAACCAACCGACCAACCACGTCCGGTCGGTCGACCACAGCAGCAGAGCAGAAGCGGTTGCCATGAGTGGAGTGCGTGGGATACGAGTCGACGACTGAGGCCCCGTGCAGCAAACGGTCGAGACGATGAGGCCACCAGCAAAAAGCGTATCTGGGGCACGACGTTCGCACCCGCCAGCTCGTGTCATGTGCAGAGTATGGAACAATTCGCGACCCCACCGGAGCACAGATATGAATAGAGCGAAATTCAAGATCAATGAACGAAAATTCCGCGGGCTCCGAACGAGAAGAGAGATTCTCGTTCCTGCCAGTCAAAACCGTGGGCGGGGTCGGGGTCGGGGTCGGATAGCCTCGGCCTTCTTGGACTTGAAGCTGGAATCGGGGTATCTTCCTCGGGCCCTGCGATGCCTTAGTCGGTCTCAATTGGTCGGATTAGATCGGTGGGGTTGGGTTGGGTTGGGTTGGGTTTCGTCCGATGTGGAGTGGGATGGTGGATGGGACGATGATTAGACGAGATGCGATTCCGGAGTCCGGAGGAGTGTCATATGCTCCAGACATCGTGCACGGCCGGGCAAGTGACACCATCGAAGGAGATTGAATATTTGATGCGTACCGTGAAAGGCAGGGAATTGGCCGAGGGGCTCGTGGGGAAGGATATATGAATGTGGGTTACAAGGACTTGCCCGGCCGTAAGAACAGAGTAAATTGAATAGAGCTGGAAGAAGAATATAGACTTGAATTTCGTTGTTCCAGGGGGAGGATTCTCAAAATGCACAGAATGAGGTCTGTTCAGCTGTTGGTGTCGTTCTTCGTGGTGTCTTTGGTGGTCGTTGGTGCCATCAACATTGAGCACAATATCAACCTCCATAGGCCCAAACCTGACGATGCTGAAGCCATGGCTCGGTGGCTTGTGGCCTTCAGTTCTTGGGGTGTGCTCAGGTCCTTTTCCTACCCTGAAGCTGCAGTTCGATCCACATGCTTTAAATTGGATGTCTTGCCGGAATCGTCGAGGAATTCTTGCACGGAATCAAGCAACGAAACGAACTCGTTCGTTGATTTTCCATCAGTCCTTTTGGAATTGAAAAGCAAAGCGTTATGGATAGAAGAAAAACATCATGTGAGCTTGTCGAATTCAATTAATTAAATGTGGACAGTTGTTTGGAAATCGTTTGTTGCTCTTTACCGGCCTCAGCGAGCTCAGTGCGACCTTCTATAACTTTTAGCTGTGACAACCTCCCAACCACGTGAATAGGACGATGTTCGTCCCTACTTGCTACTGCTTCCGCATGAGCTTTTCTTGTTTTCTGCGGAGCAGCGCGTCTTTCGAAGTTGGTATTCAGCTTCAAAGCCTCTATATAGGCCCATCCCGTTTTTTAATTTGTTCATCTGATGCGTAGTGTGAACTAACGCAATTTGTCTTGTTTGTTGTGCAGTACCCTCTCTATTCATCTGGGCGGTGCTCCCTGGGGGTGAGTTCACAAACGAATTTCCGGGATATTTTCTGTGAGACTCTTTTGGATATTGTGGCCATGTCTAGGCTATCTCTCCTGCATGCTTTCTTTTGATCGGTTAGTTAATCCACAGTTGGAGAGGCGTCATTTTGTTGACCTCTGTACCAGGTGGGGACATAAAAATCCGTGACCTTCTATATCATGAAAGCTGAGAAGAACGTCCCATTCTGATCAACAGATTCTGTAATATGGATCTGAGTCGAACTTTCATGAATTTCTATCCGCAGCAACATAGCTTCTTTCAGCGACGGACCCAAAGGCAAAGCAACTGGGACGCCGTACTTCTACCTTTCGAGAATGGACCCCACTCCGGTTGACATCGAGCAAGATGCCCGCTGCTCTCTATCACTTAGTGAAGCCCCCATTGGCACTTGTGGCAGCAGGGATGTTGAGGACCCAACATGTGCTAGACTGACACTCTCTGGAAAGGTTGGTCCTGTTTCAAACTGTCTATTGTGGCATATGTTCTCCCCTTGCACCTTCCTTAGTTTTAATACACTGATCTACGTTTTCGAACCTTATCAGTGTCCCTATCCATGAATCAAGTGATTTGTTACAATGAGGACACTTCATGCGGCCCGTCCAGTGTTTGATTGTTGTTTATATTTGTGGACCTGCACAGTGCACCACTAATTGCACTTCCATGACAATCACGGCATGCCATGTAGAGGCTATCTGACGCAAATGGTGACTTCTTCTTGCAGATGGTAGAACTTGCCAAAGGTTGTGAAGAAGGAAAATTTGCTCTGAAAGCTTTATTCTCAAAGCACCCAGAGATGGCAGGTAATGGCTATGGAAATTGTACAGCATTGTCCGGACCTCCACATTTCATTTAGGACTGATAGGATAGTTCTAACGTACTGGTGGATGGAAAATGATGGCACCGATTTACCAGCTTACGTAAAATCGTATTTGGAAGGGTCTCAATAATCGATGTCAGAGAAACTGTTACATATTGACGTTACAAGATTTTTAACTATCTCATTCTGTAGATACGATGTATACCACATGACACTCAACTTTCTTTAACGCCTGTTTTCATCCATCGATGCTATTTGTTGGTTCTCGCAGTTTGGCCAAAAGGGCACGACTGGCGAGTTTACAAGCTCAAAATAGAGGACATCTTTTTAGTGGACTTTTACGGTGGAGCGAAGGAAATGTCTGTCGAAGATTATTACAATGCGGCAGAACCATCAATCTCCGATAGTTCTAGCTGATGATGGGAGGTACCAGCTCTTCAAGTTTGAAGCAGTGGAAAATGTTTGGGATACAACAATAGCTGTGGCCGAATTCGATAGGTTGCTGTAGATTACTAGAAATTGTGAATAGATAAAGTCTACTCATCAGGAAATAGTTATCAACTTGAAGTGTAAAATTACTTGACTATGAGCGCTATTATAATCATTGTCACCGCTGTCTTAAGACCTTGGCTTCTCCTGGCGCCTCAAATCTGAGAAACCTGTTTTTCCCGTTAACTGACTATGACCATGCTTATTTCATCTTCAGTAAGCTTTCGCCGTGCATTTCTCCTAAGAAATTAAGCGTGACCAGTTTAATTTAAATCACGTTCACAAGAAATATTAAGGATGCCTTGGGGCAGGAAAAGGTGAAACAATCTCCTATATTGCCCATAACATTCTCTGCATTTGAAGGTGGTCAGGTCAAACCCTTCCTTGAAGTCGTCACAACATAATCGCCATTCACGGTCCACGGAAACATCGGTAGTCAGTAAGATCAAGATTGATAGCATACAGACTAGGTGCACTCAAGCATACACTCTGCGAAATAAAGCTTCAGGAGCCAATACTATGCAAATTTGCACTCATACATCGACACAGATACATAATAAATGGGCATGCATTGACAATGATAACTGTAGGCTTTACTTCCACTGTGGTTGTGATCTACGTACATTCGGTCAAGTTTATTACTATACAAGAGCAGTAACTGAAATACACAGTTCCTATTGGTAACTTAAAATCGGCCTCGGGGATGACTGTTTCAACTCATTAGATCTTTTCTCGGATTCGGTACTCAGGAGCTTGTCACTGAGAGTAACCATAACTCTGTGCAGTGCCATAGCGGCTGCGTAGCACACCATGGTCATAATTGTCCATCCGACTTTCAGCTGAAGGAGTGGGGCACGTTGCATCTTCCCCGCTAGAACTTTCATGAGAAACCACAACCTCCGATTCTTTAACAGGGCGTCTGGAGAAATAACTGCACAATCAAAAAGCACTTTCCTGAAGTCTTGGCCACTTCCAGTCGGCTCCTCTAGGCTTTGAGTTTCACCTTGATTAGATATGCTACTCGCTCCCGTGCACCCCTCTTGTTCTATGTCCAAAAGCCTCAAACCAGACCGATAAAAGGCTTCCGACAATATGTTTGCGACTTTTCTACGGTAAGAGCTGGCAGGGGCAGAAATGAAAGACTTTGCCAATGATATTGTATCAGCTTCAACAAGGACACGCCTGATGCAAGATCCTTTCTGCGAGAGAGAGAAGGAGAGCAGCGCAATAAACGCATTCTTCCTGCCGGCCATCTCAAAATTAGCACCTGATTTCTGTTCACCATTTTCAGCTGAACCTGGACTTTTCATATTGGAAGGCTCTGCTTGTGAGGTTTTCACGATCGAAGCAATTCTATCCCATCTAAGCTCTTTCTTATCATTCAGAACAAGTGACTGAAGAACCTGTCTCGTAGGGCGAGAGTTGTCTGTAAGAAGGCGTGTTACCACGTACGGATAAGCGGAAGCAAAAACCTTGTAGTTCGGGTCCACCGATAGTGCTATTCCTTCAAGTGATGCGAGGGATCTGAGAACTAATGTGTAGTAGGGAGGCAGACGAAGGCGAAATTTCAAGGCTATCTCCCAAAGCTTTCCCGTCACCTGTCCAAAATTGATATCTGGTAAGCCGTCCTTGACAACTGCATCAGGGCCGTCACCGAAAACCCGCTCTAGAGCCTGCAGTGACGACAATGTCCACTCAGAAGACCAAAACTCACATATTCCATTCCAAAAGCGTACGTACAGAAGAAGCCAAAGCCAGTTGATGTTACGCAAGGTTCCTTGCGTTCCTCGAGTACACAAATCATGTAGGCCATTTTCTGGGAACTGTGAAATATCTCAAAACTAGAAACAAAACCTGATCTGAATTGTTGATACATCTCTTAAGAAATGGCATCGAGCTTTGATGGATGCAAGCCAATTGGGCTCAAAAGTAAAAGTGAAATATCAATGAAGTTGTTGATACGGAAACTGATGATACATACCAGGCGAAGAGCAAATCTATCTGTTGTTGGCTTCAAAACATCCATATCACCCAGATCATTGGCGAGGTATCCCCACTCTCCATTCACAAGATGTGCGATAGCAGCAAGCATGGCTGCCTGGTGACTTTTCTCCATGTGACAGATGAGTCCAAAGTCCAAGTAGGTCAAGTTGCCATCTTTCGTGAATAATAGGTTCCCAGGATGTGGGTCCGCATGCATTACGCCCGTCTCCAACAGCTGAACAAGGGAAGACTCCACACCCTTTTTCACCTAAAGTATAGAGGTAGAAAATATATGCCAGTCAGATGAGTGTGTGACTCTACGATGTACAGTACATGAACGATAGTGACAGGACATGGGTGTGATGTTAGATGATGGCTTTTCACGAACTGTGCGCTTCTTATGTTACACTGGACCAGATTTTGCATAGAAAACATGTATTCCTCAGAATATATGTACTGAATCATAACTGAATGTGAACTTGTGCATACCAGATTATCAAGCGCAACCTTTGCTTCGCGCTGCTGCGTGACTGTAATAACCTCGCCATCGATAGTTCCCCCTTGAGCTATCAGATGCAAGTCGGAAGGGCGGAATCCATCTATCCACTCCATGGTCAGGACTCGCTTACTCGTCAGGTGGGGAAGAGTTTTTGGTACTTTAACGTAAGACAGTTTAGCATGCGCTGTTTCAAACGTTATGGCATTGGCTGCTTCCAAAGTGTAGTCGAGTTCACCAAAAAGACCCCGCCCAAGCTCGTCTGCCAGAATAGATATGTCCGAACTCATCCCAGCCACCTTACGCACGAGTCCTAGCTGCATAATAGCAAGAGATAATCAGTACAGATTTATCAAAAACCACGGCGACAATGCTCGAAGCGCGCAAAGGAAAACTCATTGGAGGGCGAGCCACAGCAAGAACGCATCTCAGATAGACATACATACATAGGAACAGATCTCGACATTAAACATACCCCGAGTCGGAGGATGTAGATATCTCGTGCTACGGTAAATAACAGGTCTGGACGCTGGACTTTCACAGCCACTTCTTGTCCTTCAACTGTCTGGCCTCTGTATACCTGTTGAGGTGCAGATATTAACAAACGCCGTCAAGAATTGCAATAAAAATACAATACCATAGCTGTTAGAACACTGTTATACTCCCTATTACTTCCTGTCTCAACTCTAATGACTTATAGTTAGGACTGTGTTGTGATGTAGACTACAGCTGTGATGTAACGGCCACCGTCACCGTTATCCACTACGGAGGTGTGTCCCACTGTGTCTTTTCATTTCTTTTGTCATCTCGGATTGGGTATTTAGACCCAATCCGGGTACCTGTGTTTTATCAACAACTTTTATGTGGATCCTTCCTCAGAACTCAGAAACCTTTGTCCACCCATTCTTGCATTCTCTCTAGGACTTTTTTAATATGGTATCAGAGCTTGTTCTCTTCTTATTTTAAAGACACTTGAATCAAGTAAAAGCACAAAGGACGCTTTTTGCTTCGAATCATTCTCTGTGCTTACTGTCAGAGCAATTTCAAGGAAATTCCCCGAAACCCCGTCGGCTCCGATCTTTGGCGACTCAAGCTTTTCCTGCAGGGCTGTGCTCCGCGCCTCTTCTGATGAGGATGTGACGACCGTCTCGAATAACTGTACCCGTGCCCTCTCGAAGGTTCGCCGTCCGACGCTTGGCGAGCGGAATCCGCCAACGAGGCCGCAGCGCTGATCAGAACGCTGGCATTGCAGTCAACGTTCTTCAAAGTTTCGCACCGTTCTGCCAGAAACCGTGAACGTTGACACCAATTCCAGCGCTTTTATAAGCGCTGCCGACTCGTTGGAAAATTCCGCCCGCCATCGGCGAACCTTCGAAGCACGGGTACAATTCTTCTAGACGGTAGTCACATCCGCATCAGAATATCCAGGACCTTTTCTAATAACAGCAAATCCCATCCAGCAGCAGAAAGACGCTTGCAACCTGCAGTTTAAAAAGAGGACAATTCTGACGCTAACGAAGAATAAACACAACAAGTGAATGTACGCAGCAAATACCTGGCCAAATGACGCAGCAGCCACGGGGTCTACTGAAAGGCGGGTGAAAACTTGACCAAGAGGTACCCCTAATTCTTGCTCTATAACAGCCATAGCCTCTCCGGTTGGAAAAGGAGCCAAACGATCCTGCAGCTCTGATAGAACCTGCAGAGGAAAAAGGTCTGTCAACTTCCCATTATTTCGAAAGTATTTCAAAACCACATGGACTCCCGACATGCGTCAAGCGAAGTGGTTTGTTGATACACAAATTACTCAACGTTCGATACAAACACGAAGCAAGCTTCATTGTTATCAATTCCTTACGAGTACATCAATGAGGAAAAAGGCCGAAAGATGAGTAGTTCCTCTCGGTTGAAGGTATGCACCTTCGCGGTATCCGTGCCGATCAAGTCAGGTCGGGACGATAGAGACTGGGCCACTGCGATCATAAAGCGCAAAGTTTCGTGCGAACCAGAAAGTGAATATTAGAAAATGAAGATCAACGGTATCTTAGAAATGTCAACTCAGTTCAATGTTCAGTCACCTAACTGGATAAATTTGTCACACCTAGTCCGGTTCAAAGAGCACAAGTTGACTTGTCTCACCTTTGATAAAAGTCGGGCCAAGACCCACAAGCATATTCTTCAACGCGGCAGCACTCTTCAGAGTATACCGTAGATGTTCTTCCTCGTCTTTTGATCCAAACTTGTCTCTAGACACCTTCTGCCCGTCGATCAGAACCTGAACGGCAACGGAACTGAATGCAGCAGCTACCTGCACTATCAAGTCCAATGAGAGATCTGGACCTGCAGGTTGAGGTTATCTTATGATCCTATCATTTGAAAATTGAGCTCTTAAAAAAAGGTCTGCCCATAAAATTGAGTCATATCAATGGAGAGCAAAATACACTTTGCTTGCGCCAGATCGACTTCGTTGCGAACATCAAAATGTCAAATTCAAACCGTGACAAAGATAAACGTGAGGTTCACCCTTTGAAACTGCTCTGACGCAAAGTTCAGGTCGTAGTCATCCCAGTAAATGTAAAAATGAGAACAGTTTGAAGAAGAAATACCTCCAAAAATCGAGAAACAAGCAGATGCGGCCTTCTGTTGAAATAGTCTGCAACATAATCTGGGTTGTAACGCGTCTGTAAAGGAACACGCCAAGCTCCCAACATTTCTTTGACATGATCTCCGTAAGAGCTCAAGGTCTGCAGATCAGCAGCAAGTAGAGCCCTCCCCGACAGCTCTGCTTCAGCGGATTTATATAGAGTGTTAGCTCACTGTCTCCAGATGAATGACACAGCTAGTATCTTCGTCCATCTGTGAGTATCACAGTTTGCCCATGTACCACCGATTATGATCCATGTAGAGCAGTTAAGGCCGATATTTACAAAATGCATGTTCTCATTGCCAACCAGGGTGATTAACTCATTATGAGAATTGTACATGGAGCACACAAAAGCCTTCATTGAGTTCCATTCGTACAATACACAACCCTCAGCATACATTCCTGAACTCGATTGTCCAAGCAAACGGAAAATTCGAATCCTGTTGTTGATGATTAAGACCTAGACATCGTACCGTGATATTGAGGCTGCGGCCACTTAGAAGGAGGGCCAGGAACAGCAGACGGATCCTCCAGTATTCTCATGGCCACGATTTCTGTGACATCCTTCTTCAAGTCCGGCAAAGCTAGCTCCTTCACCCAGTTAACTGCTTCCTGTATAGTCTCCACATCTCTGGCTATAATCTTATCCACACCTGTACGCTCCCGCAGATTCCTAGCCCAACCCATGACCTTTTCTCCATCCTTGGCCAATATCCTCTTGATACCGGAGAACGCTTCCTTCAGTTGAGCGTCTGCATTCGTTTTCTTCTGAGGCTTAGAAACCAATCCTGCTTTCACGCTTTGGTTCTTTGTAGGACTGCTATAATTTTCTTGCATAGATTCCACAGATCTAGCATTATCAACACCAGGAAGTGCGTCTATGTGAAGTGTGTCGACTGCTAGCAATTCCCCATTGACTGATCGACTAGCGGTAGACGGCGTAGAATTGATGTTTGATGAGTCTAATTCAACAAAACTCTTCAAATGATCAACACGCTTGTCACCGACTAATAGAGCGTCATTCTCCACAACAGACTTCTCTGAATCTTCGACAATCCGACGCCGTCCACTAACATTCACATTCTTTTCATCCTCGTTCACAAAAGCTTCCGTCGGCTCTGCACTTTCCGTGATCTCCAATTCTTCTTGATGAACAGTCAGAATAGAAGCACCTGATGCGGACCACAATTTCAGTTTCACCTGATAATAATAGGTCTTCAAATGCTCCATGATGAGGACTGATACACAAGTTAAAAAACTACATGATAGTGGTACAGATAACATTACCTTGAGGAGAGTCAATTGTTGTGGCATTTCGGGAATCAAGCTCGGGAGATTGTTTGAAACTTTCAGCTCGCTCAGCTCTAGGCCTCAAAATCATTTCCTTGTCCACAACATTAACCACAACTTTCCTTTTCTCCTCTACTGCGTCTACAGCTCGCCGAGCGTTGCAAAAAACCGACAGGCTGCCAGACAATCGCCGGTCGCGACATACTCGTTCATACGGATGAACAACCGCGACTTTGCGAGAGAAATGGACCTTGGAAGAAAGCACAGACGCAGGGCTCGCCACTTGTACAGGCTTCAACATTGCGCCCAATTGCCGGGAGGCTCTGCACACCAAATCTCTATGCGGCAAAAATCCAGCTCTAAATGCAATGTGGGCATTTGGAAAACCAGTGCGCGCATTGCCATTGACAGTCAGAAAAGCCTTCTTCGTAGAACTACTGAACCCCGACGACTGCGTCCGCGCCTTGGGCACAAGCCCCCCGGCCAACCCGTTGCTTCCATACGCGCTCGCCATGTCCTACGCTCCTCTCAGATCAAGCAAGCTCTCGCTCCCCCATTCCCTCGTTCCTCTCAAGCCCCTCCCGGCATACACAGCGTTTCTTGCATCCGACTTCCCGAAGTTCTTCCTCCCAAAGAAGCGGACTGAACGTCGAAAAGATCACACAATCAAACAAGCTCGAGCAGATTCGTCTCTCCTCGGCCCTTCCCTCGGCCCTTCCCTGACATGTGCGATGTTCGGCCTCAGTCTCAGGCCTAGATTGACTGCACCAGCAGTCAAATCTGTAGTAGACCTGCGTGTAGGTTTCGAGGTCACGACGTCGCAGGACGCAACATTTGTCACCTGCGCTCGATGTTTGCAATCGAATGCGTGGTTACGGTCCACAAGAAGGACGCCGGTGCGCGGCTTCTCCTCCTCACAAATTCGCGTCACTGCGGTAATTCGTGATATCTAGTCCACCGTCGCGCAAACTCCGCTGCTCTATTTGAGTGGTCCGGATACGATCGAGCCCGTGTCTGGCCGCCACATCGTCAAGCGGGTGGTGTCCTCGTACGGAGTAGGAAATGCTACCCAATCTGTTTTCCCCTTGAAACGCGTCCTAGATGTGAGGAATTTCGGTCCAAATCGTGGATATTTTGATATAGATCATGCAATTTTGTGCAGTCAACATTGCTTATAATAGTGCCCTGTGTTGTATGAACCTTCGCGCTTTCATTCACCCTTGAGTTAGGAAAATTGCGTTAGGAACAGCGCAATTTTAAATAAACATCGGAACCTCGTGATTGGATTACTAAAGTTTGGTAAATGCAGGGAGGCTGCGAGGCGAATCAAAGACCTGGCAAACCTTTATGGGTAAATTCTTTAGATATTGAAAACAAGTTTCGTTTTCTCAGCAAACTTAAGCAAATACTTTAGATACTCTAGGTTGTTTAATAACCGTAGTTTAACTGCAATGTATTGTGATCGCATTTGACTCAGGATTTAACCATTGTTAGATAGCTGATGTTTTGTATATACATGAAGAGTGTTGAGTTGATATCATCACGATCAGGTCAATAATTATAAATCTGATTTCAAATCTGTGGATGAAAAAAGCATCATATCTTATTTCATAAATTATCATAAAATTTCTTATTACATTAAAAAAATTCTTATAAAATTATTTATATTGATTTGCTCTGCGTTAGGAATTGAAATATCACTTCGAGGATATGCAAGTAGAAAGGCATACCCAACTGTGCACCCAGAAAACGCTCTTATGATAAGAAACTGTGCATTCAACCATCCTTGTCCACCTACTTGTGGGTTTGGAACAACATGTTGGGAGATCCAACAGCTTACCAGCATGGAATTTTATTACAGGTAGCGATCAATTTGGGAATAAATTGATGAACAAACGAGATAGAGATTCACAGATAAGAGGTTTTTTTTTAAATGTCACTCGACTAAGATTGAAATAGATTACTTACAATACACGATGATCATAAGCCATGTTCATCGTATGCAACAAAAAGCTTACAAAGCTGTAACAAGTTCAACAACTTCAATCTTTCCTTTGAAAATCACCTGGGTTTGATTTTAAAAAAATACAATTATCGAAGTAGATTTAATCTAGATTTCGATTACATCAAAAATATAATGATCCAATTTTATTTTTATGATTGATTCATTCTCGAGGAACCTACTTCTTAATTATTGCACTGATCTGTGCTTGCGAAAACAATGAACGAATATCACAACTCAGTGATGTTATGCATAGCAGAGATTGGGGACATAGTAAACTGCGAAATCCAGGAATCAGTCATAATTTGAGCATCGACATGAATTTTTACAACATCGAACAATTTTTATACCTCGAGTTCTTCTGCAACTGACGAATCCTGCCAACGATAGATTCCATTAGTTCTGCTCTATCCGAAACAAATAATCCAAAAAAGCGAAAGGAAAACAACCAAAAGGATGGTAAGAACCATAAATAAAGTATAATGAATGAAGCACGTGTGATGTAACGAAAAGCATGGGAATATTCTGTCAAGTACAGAGTCCAGTGATGAAAATTGCTGATATTGCCATATGAAATGTTGTGAACTCCTGGTGTAACCGAGGGCAGAGATCTCTTAATGTCCACATTTGTTATTACTTCGTGAAACATGTCTGACAATGGTTCCCGAGTTTGTCTAGAGGACCCAGCAGTAGAAGAACAAGAAGCGAGAACTGGTTAAAACACTCAGTCCCTCAATTAGAAATGTGGGACAGTCATGGTTTTGATTGTTCTGGAAATTGTCGTGTCGATGTCAGTCGACGATCTGAGATCTCAGTGGAATGGATTTGTACAGCTTCGTGACAACATCCATGAAAAGTTTGGAGAGCCCTGACATCGGCTTCGAGTGCCATGCGATGAATGTAGGAAACTGTGGAGCCGCAGCGGTAGTGTGTGCTTTGAATTATGTCGACAGGCCAGGCAGGGCGAAAATGCTGGGTGACAATCCAGCAATCTCTCGAGGAGTTGTCTGGAGTCCAACAGTCACGACGGGGCTCGATAGAAATGCCATGTATTTATGAGAAGCAGATAATTTGGTCTGCACAGAGCTTTTTCAGCAGAACCTTCAAGGTCCTACCGAATGAGGAGGAGGAGGAGGAGGAGGAGCTCGTTACCAGGGGGCGCTTACCTCTGCCACGCTGGAGAAGTCGGTTTGGACGAGGTCGCGCGAAAAAAACTAACGCCCCTCAGCATCCGGAACGGAGAACAGTTGGGAGCACCAAAGTCCATGGATCGGAGCTGCTCTGCTTTGCGCGAAGAGGACTCGAAGAACGTAAGTCATGCGGTCGCGTCTAGACATGGGAGACGTGGCGCTGAGTGACATCTCAGTCCATGATGAGATTTCATGGATTGTGGCGAAGAGGCAATGCATTCGTTCGAACAGGTTGCGTATCAGCGTCATTGCCGTCAGTGCAATTTCGCTCTCGGTCTTCCCTGTGAGCTGACTACGTTTTTGAATTGCATCCCGAGGCCCTTGCCAAAATGTGGGCCTTGATAAGCAAATATGAGAGCCAGTTGATTCTCGTGCCCTTCGATGTGATTTCTTCAAGAAAATGTGCGGAGTTTTGATTGCGCTTGAGCAAGCGGACGTCAGTTGGCAAAATGTATCAGCGACAAAGCATAGTGAATCGACGGAAAATTCCTCCTTCGAGAAAGAACGACGAGGTAAGAATCTTATGCGTCAGCGGTTTTATCATACCTTTTATACACAGATTTAGGCCTCTGTTCTTTTGCAGAGTATTTTGGAGGTTCTTAGAGGGACGTCTATCAGCCTGTGACTCTGGATCGCATACCAGAACTAGAATGTTAAAAACATTTGTAAACAGAGGGTGCTCAAAGTCAAGCTTGGAGATGCGTTTGATTTCAAACGTAGAAAGGTAGTAGTTGATTTCATGTTGGGAAAATTGCAACTTTCCAGCTGTTTTCTGTCGTTAGCTTTTGGAAGGATATTGCTTGCTCCTTTGTTTCTTTTGATCTTGGAAGATAGACATGACAAAGTTATGTTTATACATGAGAGTGTTGCCTGTCTGAGAAAGTATCACAATCGTATGACCTGTCGTGGTGATCATTCAGTTTTGAGAGTCATAAAGAAGGCTGTCTGAAAGAAATTTCTTAATTCGGCGGGAGTTACAGTAATCAGCGTTGCACCTTTTTAGTAATTCATCAATGCTTGTGGTAACAAGTTTACGTAAATGTGTCTGTGTCTTCTGTCCATCCAAGCGTTCTGCCAACCAAAAACTTGAGAAGTATCGGATCTGTAGTTTTCAGGTAGCGCATGTCAGGACGAACTGCAAATTTTTTTGATGCATTCAACCGTCTCGTTTATTTTCTAAAACTGACAGCCCGGCGAAATGCCAACGCGCTGCGAACTGTTGGAATTCAATTTGCTGGAGAAAACTGATTATTCTCTAGCATCTTCCATCAGTATTTGATCCTCCGTGCTATGTTAGTGGGAATAGACTCGGACGAGCACGTTTTCAGTTAAAAAAAACCATACTTCTATAGCCATTTCTAGAAGAACGTCATGGTAGGACTTGTGTTCGTGATTCATTCTTTGGAATCTTGAATTCAGTTGCCTTATTCTCACACGTCCTTTTCCTCCTCACACATCACTTAGACGCGGAAGCTATTCTAAAGCCTTATCAATATACTGGTATAGGCACAGCCTTGGTTCATGACCCAAGACCCAGGTTGATGTGGAAGATTGCCCATACAACTCCAACATGTCCTACAGGACTTTCTTCGTCCTACATTTGATTCGTGCTGTATGTGTTTTAAGTCACTTTCTCCTTGGATGACAAGTTGCATCAAACTTCTCTAATTGTTGTGATGGACTACCAAAATCTGTTGGTGGCTCGGCAGTAGTGACACAGATATGGTTTGAAACGTTTGTGCAGAATGTCGACAGAGAGTACGACATGCAAATGTGTGGGCTGAGGAAGCGACAGGAACAATTCAAAGATATTGAGCAGCTAGTTCGAACGAGCGTATCCCCCACAAGAGAAGAAGTTTTGGACTCACAGTGGGTTCTCCATTTGCCCTTTTCTCCACGGGACGCTTTCCCCCAATGCATGGATGTTTAAATTTCATGAAGCATCTTCTTAACTGGAGAGTAGATGTCTGTGTAGCTGCAATGGGGGCCTTGCCTCATGCATGATTGTAAATGTGAACATATTTATGTTTTGTCCCCACCAGTCATTATCTACATCAGCCCTTGTAACCATGGTTACAATGCAACTCAAAAGCCTATACTAACCACCAGCCGCGGCGCAGGATATAGCAATACGAGTACTGGGAACTTGACCTCCACTAGTAAGTCTGGTAGATAGTTTGGAAGCAGATATCCAAGTCTGACAGTACATGACTGAATCTTTTTGTATTTATTAGCGTTCTACTTCTTGCCGACATGAGCTTACGATCAGATAGTCAAGAGTGAGTTATTCATGATTTGGTGTGGCTTCAAGCATGTGCTTTAATTCAGAAATTCTTTGGTTTGTAACAGACACAAGTGGAAAGGAATAATGGAAATCCAGCTCCGGCAAAAGGAAGAGCAGCATGAAATACAGAGTGAAGCGGAGCACAAAATGCACTGCTTCAATGAATATGTTCAAAGGTTTGCCCCACATTCTTGCATATCTTTATTCACTACGCTATGGTTGATGAAGCTTTGTAAGCCAGCGCTGAGTTCATAGCAGGTAGGGAATACTTTTTCTTACAATTGGCTAGGAGGAATGGATTACTGCAATTAGAGTTTCGAAATCTGTTTCAGGTACGTTGGCCCTCACTCTAAGGAAGAGGAAGAAGCCCGAGAACAGGCTAGAAGAGACTATCTAAGACAGATTATGGAAGAAAACATGAAGGTATGTTATCCAATTCCGCACGACAATGCGGACGTCCTCTGTCGACTGTATGCAAGTGCTGAATTTACAACCCCTTCCAATGAAATTATCGATGTCTCTTTTTTCTCAACAGATTTGCTGGCTATGACTGCTCATTTTACCTCTAGTGAGATGCTTACATTGCTAGAACGCCTCACCTGCAGGTTGCAGCCGAGAAACTTGAGTGGGAAAAGAAGCAACGACTGAAGGACATTGCGCTGGACAATTACAGGCTTACGACGCCATGTACTTGGAACCGTCGGCACTATGTATAGAGCCGTGGAAACTATGAATCTCAGATCAGATTTGACATGGCTCATATGGAATCTCTGTCCGGAGCTCGGCACGGATCGCGACTAGAGACCCCGAGACCATTTTGCAGGCATGCGGAAGCGCCCTGAAAGTTTTTAGTTGTGAGACTCCAATACAGCACGAATTGGAAACTGCACCACAACATGCTCTTCTTTTCCGGAGGGAGATAACAGTGTACATTCTTCAACGAGTGAATCTTGGGCTGCCTTTTTTTTTATGGCGAATTCAACCCGTAGTTGCACGGTGTAGGTTTCTAAGTGTCCAAGAGGAAATGAATGGAAGAGAAAGTTGATGGTGTAAGCAGTTGAACCAGTCGCCGGGGAGGTCGAAGTGGTTATCACTCATGATGGCCGGCACCCTCGATGATGGCGGCCAGTTTGATAAGAGCTTTGGTTCGCTTTTGAGAATGAGCTGAAGGAACTATTTCGCCCACCTCCTTCCTTACACCTGCAGTGCAGGCACTCTTGGTTCAACAGGTTTCGGATACACATGACTTAAGAGGGCAGTATGATGGAGGAGCCTGTGTGTGTCCGCATAAGTGCTAACTTTTGTTGTCCCCGAAATCTAGCTCTTTATAGTTTTATCTTTGATGTATGAGTTTTGTCCGAAGCTAAAATCGAAGAATCATCCGCTTGAAGTTGCGATTTGACTGGTATCAATGTCCAATAGAGACAAACTCTTTCCTACCTGTGGGCGCCATTACACGCATAGTCACTGCCTTCAGGTGCCTTGTGTTCTTACATACGAAGTTGATACGAAGGCCTCTTGTTAAGATATCATTTGTCTCTCCACATATCACAACAATTTTACGTCATTGCTTGGAGTTCCTGTATAAGGACATGCTAGTGCCATTCCCAATGGCATATCGAGACTCTGTGGTCACCTACTATTTAGGATCTGCAGAGATGCTTCGGGTTTCTTCGTTGCATCTTAGTGGTGAAGATTCCTCTGAGTCGGGAGGAAATTTGCGCTTGAGTTTCGGAGAGCGTATTGCAACCCATGGACGGATGAAACAATATGAGCATCGACTGCCCGAAATTCCGGTTGCATGGTTTGGAATAACAATAGCTCTTAAATCTAGACTGAATTTGTCTGGAGATATATGAGCGTTGTACACGGCATGTGATTGTCTTCGAACATGGTAAAGGGACTCATTGCAAACATTAGAACTCCCTTCCCCGAAGACCCCAGTTTTCTCCCTCATCAGGCAGCTCGTTTGTGTGTCATCTAGGTGTTAGGACGGAAATTACTGGGCAGCCAGCTTTCATCAAGTCCTGAAGCCTAATACAATCCTAGCTTCACAAGCTCAGTTGCTTCGAAGACCATCGCATCTCACTGTCCACAACGTCGAATGTCAACCAAACAAAATAGGCATACAGAAGTATGCTCACTCACCTGGGCTGTTCTGCTACACTAGAGATAAAATGTAGGCGGGCAGCTTATTCAAAGAAACTGAAACTTTCATTTGAACTCTGCCAAATGTGGGCCAAAGAATGAGGATCTGGCAAGCACTTATTCTTCGTGGGGATACCATGCGGAACACGCTGTCTATCTTGGTGACAGCGCGAGCAGAGGACAGGCCAGAATGTAGGCGATATTCCACAGACGGAAAGGTACCTTTCATCCAATCTAGAGTCCTTCCGAATGGTCAGTGAGCTGCAATACGCGTTATGGACCTTCGTGCAATAACTGGCAAAGCTTGGGGGGCTTTTCAGCCCCACAGCTGTATGTCAGTAACTCGTTCTCAGGCTGTTCCGGGTCAGCTTGAATCTTGACTCACAATTGGCGCCACTTACTCAGTGAACTGAGAAGTGTTTGACAGTTTCTGCAATAATGAGATGACATAAAAGAGCTGCATTCTATGCAATTAGTCTGCCGACCTCGTTAGGTGAGAATTGTAAGAGCGCTTCGTTTCGATCGTTCTCCAGAGTCCAGAAATTAGGTGACTACGATAGCTTCTAGTCAAAGCCTAGATAGTCCAAAAAGTATCACGAAGTACGTTCCAGTTCCAAATAGTCATAGCCCTATACGATTGCTACGTAAGAGATTGTTATCTGGAAAGCGAAGGCTACATATATACCATGCAGTGGAAAGAAAGTCAGGTAGTTCAAATAATTCTCTAGCTTTATGCTAACATGTGACATCATCATAAAATCTGTATAAAGAACTAAAGTGACTCTTATCTGGCGATACCTCGAATACTTCAAGTATAATAAGTGAACACAACGAGTCTTTGAGCTGTCCACATGAAGAATGAAAAGGACATATATTGGATGATGGGATGAACTCTTCGCGATAGAACTTCGTTCTCAAACATGGATGATATCCGTGCTTCGTTAACGATGAGAAGAGTGGGTTAAAACCATTGTACCAAATGACACTCTTGGTCCTCTTATACTGTGAGCTTAACTTGGATAACACGCTCAACTGACAGAAGCGGTAAGAATGAATTATATGCCGTAGATTCTCAGCGCTCGAATTCGCAGTCAATCACCCACATTCCCGTCTTCAGACAAACCTTTACAGGTTCAAGCAGATGGGCGTGCAGTAATTGATGCGAGTTGCAAAAGGATCTGCAATTTGCGGGAAAGGGAAACAACATCACACGATACCGCACGGAGCTAATTATTCAACCTTTTAGGGTCGCAACTATTACTCCTTCCTCATCTTCTATTCACAACCAATATGAAGCCAGTTATATCGAACAGACAAACAGACTACGCAGAGCAGCTGTCCAATTGGAGAAGAGATTACGGAACATCAGAAAAGCTCACTTCTCCAGTGAACGGAGCCTTTTGAAGCCCTTTGTTCCGGCGAAATGTTGAGGAGACCCACGAGACAGCGTAACGAGCACGAGACGAATTGTGACCGACGGCAATGGTACTGTCCCAGAGCATAAAGCAACAGTGTACGGGCGAATCAGTCGGAGCGACTTGTAGGTCACTCTTGTCTTGTCTCCATCTGGCATTCATGCTCGAAAGAGAACATGATTCCGGAATTCCACGTGCATAAAGTATTCGGAGGCGTACGGAGGTCAAGGAACTTCGTTCAGGACCTTCTGAATCGAGAGGACAGATCTATGTCACAGTCTTAAGGTAGAGAATAATCAGGTTTCCTGCCGCGTTAAGATGTGTGTGATCCTGAACATCGAGCAGGCAAATGAGCTTCTAGAGGCTCAAATGCGGTATCATGATTTGCTCTGTGGTGTATCTGACTCAGGAACAATATCTGATCACAATCCAGTACACCAAAAGAGTATAATTTATACTCCTTCTATAGTTATAATATAATTCTATAATTTATACTGTATAAAGTATCGGACACATGATTGTCAAAAAGTACAAAGATTAACGAAGTCCGCAAAATTGGAATGAGAGTATATGGCAATGAAAACGAGTCCGGAAGGATACATTGGTGTAAATATTTGGAATCGTGGATCCAAATCATTTTCCACCCATGGTACACTTTCCACCTTGATGGGATTGGCACGTCTTTTCACTTTATTATTACTTCAAATAAACCTTGTTTAAGATATCTGTTTCTTGAGAAGAACAGGATGCTGCAAAGTTATAGAACATCCAGGACGAATTATAGAGAATGGATGGAAATAGAACCGTAAAGTCACACAAGGATGAATGCAAAAGAGTATCACATGGCTAGCCCTTATAACATCATGATGACAAATATATCCATCAGTATTTCAGATATCCTAACTGTCTAAGTTGAATATTTCACATATCACACTTTTATGATTATTATCTACCAAAATCATTATTTTATGGATTGCACAACTGAATGTATAATTGAAAGTAATGAATACCATCCTATCAAGTTTTAGTTGGTAGTCACATCTTCATAAATTAGAAAGCTAGAATAACCAAAAACAAAATTAACCCTTTCCATACTCATCTACTCATAAACTTTATTTTCTGCTACTTCAGTTGCCACTCAATCAAAGACATCTAACAGGAAGAAGGAACAGGATGCATTGCAAGAAATGCCAAATCTTCATGTGAGGTTTCAAAACTCAAATGTTGTAGCAAACTCAATGAATTTAATGAAAATCTAGTTTTCAACAATCAACCATTAAAGAACTATGCATATACATGCATTATGTTACTCCCACATGTGAGTAACACATATTTAACTGATGGAAAAAATCGAGAAAAATATTTTCAACGTAAACTCACGATGCATTGTGAAGATAAGATAAGCAACATGAAACTTATAGAATTATAGTGCAAATGAAACTTAGTAATATAAAAAGTGAAGTGGACACATACACTAAGAGAGAAGTTTAGATTGCAGTGACATTGTATATTCATCAAGATAGATTGTGAGATTTATCATATTTTTATGATAATTCTAATAACAAAATTATGTTTGTAAAAATTTATTTACTTGTAATAAATTGGCATCAAAGTATCTTACATATGTTTCGAAGAAGAAATTACATGCAGAAAAAACTTGAATAGATAAAAATAGCATCTAAGAAAAATTAGATAGTAAAAATTGCTCTTGGAGTTCTTATTATAGTCGATGATGAGCATTTAAGTTTTTATTTATGTGAATCGTCTACTAAATATATAAACATACTACTTGATATGATCAAAATTGTACACACGAGAGAGATATAAGCAACCATGGAAAAATCTATGATGTCAAAATCTATGATATCAAGTCTAATGGTAGATTTCAATATGATGATTCCATCATGTGACAAATCAGATTTTCAAAATATAAGAAATTGTTTTATTAAAATCATATGGAAAATCTGAAACACATGAAATCTAAACTACATCGAACTATGTTCCGTACATCGGATACCTTTAACCTCTTGAACATAATAGGAATCCACACGAGATATATAAAAACATGCAAGATCAACGGAATCCGAAAAGTATATCCACTCTCAACTTTCAAATTTGACTACATGTTTTTATATTCAATGGTGATGTTGGAACTGAGATTGATATATGCAAAATAGAATGAAAAGCTTACTGAATTGTAACCGGATAACTTTGAAAAGAATAGATCTTTAGATGTTTTCTCTTGATTTTAATGTATAAGTATTCCAAAAAATATATTCTTTCATCATCAGCATCGGTAAGAACATTTGTTGACATGGTGAATATCACTATAGTTTCACCGATTTCTCATGTGCTACACTAAGCAACAAATTCAAATCATCACAACAGTATATATAGATCAGTACTAATGATAGGATATTATAATTTTATTTATGTAATTTCATTTTTAACTAACTAAAAATTATTAGAGATATACACCAGCTCATTGTTACAAACAATGAAAATTCGAGAGGATCCAATTGACATCAAACTAATGACTACTTGACAACATATCTCTCAACGTTTACCTCCATTAAGGAAAACTAGTCTTCTATGAAAACTTGAGGTACATAATTTATGAATGTTAACTGACATCTTTTGCTTTGTTAGATCTAAACTGACCGTTAGCGTCTAGATACATCTCATGCCCAATCTTCATTGTTAGTTTACATTAACACGCATCTAGGCTGCAGCAAGTCATCGTCAATTGGACAAAGTGAATTTACACATAAAAAGTGGGAACCGAGTAAGAAGATAAAAAGAGAGTGTTCGAATTACATTTTTCTTTCAGTAGCAAAGATGGGGATCAGATTTCCCACTAAAGCACGTGGCAGAATGAGCATGCATACGCAGAATTATCAGCATAGTACAGTACTGTGGATGGAACTAAAATCTGAACGATATAAATTAACCGAAGAGGAAGGGA